GGTGCCATGGTTGGGATTCAAACCAACAACCCTAGCACTGCCAGGCGGAAGTGCTAACCATTTAGCCACTGTGCTGCCTGTAATTCCACCTAAAGCACTGACAGGGATACAGATACAACATAGAGGTCAGTTGTCCCGGATTTGCTGGGACAGTCCCGCATTTTGGTCCGCTGTCCCGCTGGGATCATATCATCCACCTTATCTGAGTTACTACACGTGTGCAGTAACTCAACAAGGCATGTTGAGGAATGAAGGCAGTGAGTGGGCAGTTCCTGCATATTTTAGGAGGGGTGATATCAGTACCAACCTGTAAAGTGGGTGTGATTTGAATCTGCCCACCCAGAAAGTGAGCATGGGTAGGGTTAACGGTGTCCCTGAATCCAGGACCATAATTTTGGTAAGTATGATACCACAAGGTGAGAAAAAGGAATACCAGGCAATCAGATCTACTGATAGATGTGGCAACATTTTTGTACTCTCGCCCGTTTTCTGCCTTCTCTATAACTTCAGCAGCCAGATCTGCAGTATGCAGAGACTGTGTCAGTCACATGAACCCCCAACCTTTGATCTCCTCCTTGACAGCCGGTGTAGGCACCCCCGCTGCCAGCCTTGACATATGATATAGTGTGTATGGGAGGGCAACGATTTAATATAAAAAATGGAAAACAACTTGTGACTGCAGGCAGGACAGATAAAAATAAGATTTTTAAATGAGTGTATATATGGATCATATAAAAGAGTGTTTATATTTCACTGGAGATCCGATTTCAGTGTTCATATACATGGAACGTAGGGAGTTCGGGGAATTTTTGGAGTCTTGCACATTAGCAAGAAAGGATAAACAGAAATAGAGGAGATTGCTGGGGGCAGCTGCTGTTCTCAAGAGATACACGGATCACATTAGCTGAGAATTAGCTGGAAGATTTTATCGTATCGCTGACCTGATTCCAGACAGTCGCCACCATTGACTACTTCTTAGCTGTAAAACACAGACAGATGGGCTGAGAGGAGATTGTGAGATGTCCAGGAAAGACTGAGATGGTATTAGCAACAAAGGGGGTAGATGGCTGCCCTACAAAATGTTTACTTGTGTATGATGGGTCAGTAATAGGTTAAAGGTCAACTCCTCCTACATCTGATTTTTTTTTTTTGGGGGGGGGGGGGGGTTCAGGTGAAGTGGCCAGCTTCTTATAATTTCTAGAGACTTCAGTTGTGAGATTTCCCCCCAGTAGTTTGTGTCTCTGCCCCTCCCACAATGATGAGATTTTCCCCCCTGTAGTTTGTGTCTCTGCCCCTCCCACAATGGATGAGATTTTCCCCCCCTGTAGTTTGTGTCTCTTCCCCTCCCACAATGATAGAGATTTTCCCCCCTGTAGTTTGTGTCTCTTCCCCTCCCACAATGGATAGATTTCCCCCCAGTAGTTTGTGTCTCTGCCGCTCCCACAATGGAGAGATTTCCCCCCAGTCGTTTGTGTCTCTCTGCCCCTCCCACAATGGATAGATGATTTTCCCCAGTAGTTTGTGTCTCTTCCCCTCCCACAATGGTGAGATTTCTCCCCCAGTAGTTTGTGTCTCTGCCCCTCCCACAATTGGTGAGATTGTCCCCCCAGTAGTTTGTTTCTCTGCCCCTCCCACAATAGTTGATTTCCCCCAATAGTTTGTTTCTCTGCCCCTCTCACAATAGTTGGATTTCCCCCCAGTAGTTTGTGCCTCTGCCCCTCCCACAATGGTTGGTTTCCCCCCCCCAGTAGTTTGTGCCTTTGCCCCTCCCACAATGGTGAGATTGCCCCCCCCAGTAGATTTTGTCCTCTGCCCCTCCCCACAATGGTGAGATTTCCCCCCTGTAGTTTTTGTCTCTGCCCCTCCCACAATGGTGAGATTTCCCCCTGTAGATTTGTGTCTCTGCCCTCCCACAATAGGGAGATTTTCCCCCCAGTAGATTGTGTCTCTGCCCCTCCCACAATAGGGAGATTTCCCCCCCAGTAGATTGTGTCTCTGCCCCTCCCACAATAGGGAGATTTCCCCCCCAGTAGATTGTGTCTCTGCCCCTCCCACAATGATGAGATTTCCCCCCAGTAGTTTGTGTCTCTGCCCCTCCCACAATGGGGAGATCCCCCCCTGTAGATTGTGTCTCTGCCCCTCCCACAATGGGGAGATCTCTCCCCAGTAGATTGTGTCTCTGCCCCTCCCACAATGGTAGTGGAAAGAGTAAAACTAGGGCCAAGCATGCAAGCAGAGGTGACATAGTTCATGCATCAAGAATTTGGTAAATTAACACCTCGCTGGCCTAAGAGGAGGACAAAGCGTAATGCAGGTACAGCTGTGGCGCAGCTCGCTATAAGACCCCCCCAGGGAAGGCAGAAAGTGTGAACCCCACATTATGAGCACAGAGTGATACCCAAACTGGCTGATCATATCCGACGCTGGAGAATAAAAGCTGTTAAGAGCTTCTGCGAGCAAACTGTGATTTGGAACATGGAAACATTTTATTGTGTAATGAATTCTTCACGGGAGAGAAATCTATAGAATTCTGCTGACATTTTCACAGATTGTCAGTGCGAGGGATAACCCCCCCCCCCCTCCCAAGAACTGACAGTGTTCTCTTTTCTGTGTATTTAAAGGAATCCTGTAATGATGCAAACACACTTCCATGGCTAACCTCCCTCTAAGGCTACGTTCACACTAGCCTTGTGTGCAGGCGGCAGAGAGGCGTTTGGTAAGCGTTTTTACCGCTTCCCAAACGCCTCTGCCAATTCTGCACATTACAGCACATGGTGCTGTTCTAACGGGAGCGTTTGCGTCGCGTCGCGTTGCGTCGCGGCAAAACGGACGCCTCTGGACGAGTCAGGAGGCTTTGAAGCCTCCTATTCTCGTCTATGGTGCCGCTCCACAAACGCCCGGCCGGCGTTTTGCGGTGCGGTTTTTGCGACGCGGTTGCGGGGCGTTTGTGGAGCGGTAACACCACTCAAACTGCATTATAGGCGTTTGTGGGGCGTTATTAACGCTCGGCAAACGCCTAGCAACCGCCGGTAAACCGCGCATGCGGCGTTTGCGGAGCGTTAATAACGCTCCGCAAACGCCGGACCAACGCTTGCCAAACGCTATGGGGGCGTTTGGCAAGCGTTGGCAAAACAGCCTAGTGTGAACGAGCCCTAAAAGTGCTAATTGCCTGGCTGCCTCTGGATTGAATACTTTGTAGGTCGCTGACTATGGGCAAGCAAGATCGGACAACTGGTACAACTACTTATCCTGGGCCAGGGATACAGATGGCTATTTACTAATCCTGAATGGTGTAAAATCTGGTGCAGCTCTGCAGAGAAGCCAATCAGCTTCCAGGTTTTGCTCACCGGTGATTTAAAAGCCAAGGAAAGATGGAAAAATCTCCAAAAGGCATCAAATTACACATTAGACATTCTTATATGTCAACAAAAGTTAGATTTTATTTCCATCATTTACACTTTCAAAATATAACAGAAAACAAAAAAATGGCGTCTGCAAAAGTTTGGGCACCCTGCAGAATTTATAGCATGCACTGCCCCCTTTGCCAAGCTGAGACCTGCCAGTGTCATGGATTGTTCTCAATCATCGTCTGGGAAGACCAGGTGATGTCAATCTCAAAGGTTTTAAATGCCCAGACTCATCTGACCTTGCCCCAACAATCAGCACCATGGGTTCTTCTAAGCAGTTGTCTAGAAAACTGAAACTGAAAATAGTTGACGCTCACAAAGCTGGAGAAGGCTATAAGAAGATAGCAAAGCATTTTCAGATGTCAATATCCTCTGTTCGGAATGTAATTAAGAAATGGCAGTCATCAGGAACAGGGGAAGTTAAAGCAAGATCTGGAAGACCAAGAAAAATATCAGACAGAACAGCTTGCAGGATTGTGAGAAAAACAATTCAAAACCCACGTTTGACTGCATGATCCCTCCAGAAAGATCTGGCAGACACTGGAGTTGTGGTACACTATTCCACTATAAAGAGATACTTGTACAAATATGGTCTTCATGGAAGAGTCATCAGAAGAAAACCTCTTCTACGTCCTCACCACAAAAATCATCGTTTGAACTTTGCAAATGAACATATAGACAAACTTAATGCATTTTGGAGACAAGTTCTGTGGACCGATGAGGTTAAAATTGCACTTTTTGGCCGGAATGAGCAAAGGTACGTTTGGAGAAGAAGGGGCACAGAATTTAATGAAAAGAACCTCTGTCCAACTGTTAAGCATGAGGTTGGATCAATCATGCTTTGGGGTTGTGTTGCAGCCAGTGGCACAGGGAACATCTCACGAGTAGAAGGAAAAATGGATTCAATAAAATTTCAGCAAATTTTGGATGGTAAGTTGATGCCATCTGTGAAAAGGCTGAAGTTAAAGAGAGGATGGCTTCTACAAATGGATAATGATCCTAAACACACACCTCGAAATCCACGGGGGATTACATCAAGAGGAGTAAACTGAAGGTTTTGCCATGGCCTTCACAATCTCCTGACCTCAACATAATTGAAAATCTATGGATAGACCTTAAAAGAGCAGTGCGTGACAGACAGCCCAGAAATCTCAAAGAACTGGAAGACTTTTGTAAGGAAGAATGGGCAAAGATACCTCAAACAAGAATTGAAAGACTCTTGGCTGGCTACAAAAAGCGTTTACAAGCTGTGATACTTGCCAAAGGGGGCAGTACAAGATATTAACTCTGCAGGGTGCCCAAACTTTTGCAGACGCCATTTTTTTGTTTTCTGTTATTTTCAAAGTGTAAATGATGGAAATAAAATCTAACTTTTGTTGACATATTATAAGAATGTCTAATCTGTAATTTGATGCCTTTTGGAGATTTTTCCATCTTTCCTTGGCTTCTTTATGCACATTAATACAAATTTTTAGCTGGGGTGCCCAAACTTTCGATCCCCACTGTATGTGAAATTGCAACAAAACTGGAGAAAAGGTAATGCAAGAACTACTTTAGAAATCGCGCTGCAGCAAATCGCAAATGTTAAGACACGGACAGGGGCAGACTGACCATTTGGAAACTCGGGCGCTGCCCAAGGGCCCGGGTCAGTAGGGGGGCCCCATGAGATGCCCCTGGTACCTTTTTCATAGGCTTTTTGGAGTTTGGGCAAGGACACAGGGGCCCCATGATCCCCTATTGCCCGGGGGCCCCATGAGTTGTCAGTCTGCCCCTGGACACGGACATTCACATTCAATAGAAGCGATTTCAGGTGTGATTCCAATTCCCAAATCGCACCTGAAATCGCACTGGTATGATTATCGTCAAAGCGTAATTGAACAAGCTGAAGCTAGAAGCTGGTATAATAGAACAAACAATATCTGCGCTGACTAGAAGTATAAGACAGCTGACACCAATAGATAGTATACAGACCTAAATGAATATACATAAACAGCACAGTAATTAAATGGTTAGCACTTCCGCCTGGCAGTACTACGGTTGTTGGTTTGAATCCCAGCCATGGCACCACCTGTTTGTGTGTTTCTCCCTGTGACTGTGTGGGTTTCCTCCAGGTACTCTGGTTTTCTCCCACACTCCAAAGACATGCTGGTAGGTTAATTGGCTCCTGTCTAAATTGGTCCTAGTATGTGTATGTATGAATGGAAGTTAGGGACCTTAGATTGTACGCCCCTTGAGGGTCAGGGACTGATGTGAATGTACAATATATATGTAAAGTGCTGTGTAAATTGACAGCACTTTACAAGTACCTGTAATAATAAACCATATAAACGTGTAGCGCCAATCATGAAATAGACTGAAATTAAATCAAAGCAAATAAAACAATATTATAATAAACATCCATGAAATCAAAAGATCAGTGAGAAAAAGTTCAATAAAGTTCGTCCTCCACCATAAAGTGCTCTTGCTTGCAGCAAAATAATGCACAAATGCCGTCACCATCTCCCAGTGAATTGAAGACTCACCAGAAATGATGGCTGCCACTACAACAGCATAAATGCCCGTGTATATAAACAAGGATTCTAAAGGTGCACGTGTCTTGACATATGACTATGTTGACAGATGTCATTCTATCTAGCTGAGCTGCAGTAAAATAAAGCTCGCCAGGAGCAAATAGACTTCCAATAGTGTAGTATTTATTAAAATCCGATAAAGTTAATAGCAAGTATAACAAAAAAATGTCAGCTTACATAAATAGCTGCTGCCAACTCTGGAATAGCACAGCGGCGTGACGTCAGCACTGTACACTCCTCCCTGACATGTTTCGTCCAATAGTATATTATTAACCATTAGCCGCCCGCCCAATGGCCGTTTGGCGGCTTCAGATGTGCCTCTTCATTCCGGGTGCACGCCATTTGGCGTGCTCCCACACATGCGCCGTTTGCGGTAATGCAGAGCGGCGCAGCAGCAGGATCTGTCACGGGCCGTGCACCTCGGACACGGCCGATGACAGATCCGAGTACCGGCTCCCCGTTGCTGGTACCATGTGACCTGCTGTGACCAATCACAGCAGGTCACATGACAGTTGTATACAATGGATGGCTTCATTCATGATGCCATCCATTGTATACTAGTGCCTAGCTGTGAATGGTCACAGCTAATCACATGCACATGTCATGTGTTTAGCTGTGACCAAATCACAGCTAAGCACAAAAAAAAAACAAAAAAAAAACTGAATGAATCGATTTCATTCAGGTAAATGCTTGCTTATAGCAAAGTAATTCTTTGCTATAAGCAAATTGTGTAAAAAAAAAAAAAAAAAAAAAAAATACTGATCACTTTCCCAAAGTAGTACAGTGTTACTATGGTAACATTGTACTACTTTGGTCATAGTAAAATATGAAAAAAAAATCTTAAAAAAAAAAAAAAAAAAATGTAATAAAAAATTTAATATAATAATAAAAAAAAAAAAAATAAAAAAAAAAAAAAATATATATATATATTTTTCATACTGTCACCAGTCAGTGTCCCTGTTAACCGCCATGCCAGTTATATGATGATGCTGTACTGCACCGGTGACAGTATGTAAAAAAAAAAAAAATAGTGAAAATAATTTTTTTAATTTTTTCATTTTCCGAAAAATTATGACATAAAAATACAACTTCAAAAAACTCGCCATGCCTCTTATGAAGTACGTCGGACTGTCTACTCTGCAAAAAGGGGTCATTTGTGGGATATCTGTACTGTTCTGACATTCTTGGACCTCAAGAAATTAGATTGGCTGTCAGTACTTCAGGATTGATCAATATTCAGATCTATACCATAGTTTGTGAACTCTATAACTTTCCTACAAACTAAAAAATACATCCTAATTTGGGTTATTTTCACCAAAGACATGTAGCAAAATACATCTCGGCCTAAATTTATGAAGAACAATTATTTATTTGTAAACTTTTATAACAGAAACAAAGAAAAAGTTTTTTTTTTTTCAAAATTTTTGGTCTTTTTTTGTTAATTTAGCAAAAAATAAAAACCCCAGCGGTGATTAAATACCACCAAAAGAAAGCTCTAGTTGTGTGAAGAAAATGATAAAATTTTAGTTTGGGTACAATGTTGTATGACCGCGCAATTGTCATTCAAAGTGTGAGAGCGCTGAAACCTGAAAAATGGCCTGGGCAGGAAGGTGTAAAATTGCCGGTATTGAAATGGTTAAGAGGTATTGATTGATTTGCGATGAGAGGAGGGGCACTGTATAAATATGAGAGATGTCAATACTGCGATGCCTCTTGATATGTATAACAACCCACAAAATGTTTTTCTAGGTTCAGATAGCGTGGGGAAGGATTTGTTTTTTTATGGCTATTTGAGGCTCAGATAGAGAGATTTATCTTCACTTCCTGCCCTAGTGACAACGTTTTACCAGACAAAAAGTGAGGGAAACTCTCCAAAAGGGACACTGATAGAGTTAGAAAGTAAAACATAATTATTTTGGTGCCAACTGTAACAAAGAATATTAAAGTTTGAAGCTGCCCCTAATTTAGTGGATGCCCATTCCAAAGGGTCAAATGACGCGCATAAAAAGGAACTGTAACCAGGAAGATAACTATGAGAGACTGGTAAACATATTGGTTGACAGGTTTGTAGAAAAGGGTTACAAAAGGGTTTAATATCACTTTAAGGGTGCAATAGGCTTTAATTACTCCTGAAAGTTACAGAAGCTCATTTTATTCTATTGTTTTTTATACTTTTGTTTATATTTTTTTAAACTTAGCCAGTTTATGTCCCATACACATGATAAGAAAATCGTATGAAAATTTTTCGTATGAAGACCGATCGTCCGAAAATCTGATCGTTAGTACACAGCTTTTGAGAGCTGATCATGACAATTCATGCGATAATATCCGAAGGGACAAGTGCGAAAATGTTCCTCGTACGAAATCAAATGGTGCGATTTTTGTTTAATCAGTACAGTAGTCGTCCGAAAATACAATACAATAGAATACATTACTTCGCTTTCAAAATTGTTTTCCTTCCTATGAGAATTTTCGTAAGTTTAGTACCTTTTTTTTCTTTTTCAATAAGCATGCAACAAAAAACAGATGATCATTTGACAATCTTATTGTGTGCATGGGGCATTAGAGCTGATAATTATTAGCTTTGTTTATAAACAAAGAGCCAGAGTTTGTATGTAGGGTTGAATTTACAAACACAGCCATTGATGTGGTTCTAGAAAAAAATGAGGAAGGGTTGTAACAGCGCAAACACTGCAAAGTCCTGGGAAATGGTAGTATGGGTGATGGTGGTATTAGTGGCTACTGTATGAAGAGCGTAGGATTCTGTGTGGCACTGAGGGCAAGGCTTCCAAATAAGCTGTAGCAACTTCTGTAGATGAGAAAAAGGAGAGAAGCGCCTCTAAGTGCAATAAATCTTTTAATTCAAGTCTAAATGTAGAAACACTCACATGTGTGAAGTAATCATAAGCATAAAAACCGTGGTTAACAATAGTTAACGGTGGGGTGGTAACCCGGGTGAAGAGCCGTCATCTCTCTGCGATGTGGGGAGGTCAGCTCTCGGCTGGAACAGCGTGGTGGCTGGAGGGGGAACAGTGGTGAGGCCAGCCTTCATGCACGTCCTCCCTCAAAGCCGGATGGAACGCACGCTGGAACGTAGCCGCGGCGTGGCCGTGATGATGTCAGATCCCAGGGTGCACTGCGACGCGTTTCGGAGCATGCACTGGCCGTGGAAGGCGGAAGTGCACTCCTTTTTCAAGCAGGGGGAAGTGGATGAACAGGGGTGAATATATAGGGAACGTGAGTCTAATTGATCAATTAACCAATTAACCAGTGATTGACCATTGCTGTCAGGTGAATAGTGTAAAGTCATGGATGTTAACTGGGGGGTAAAAGGAAACCAAATGGGAAAAAAGAGAGGATGTAATAAATAAGAAAACGGAAGACGAAAGAAAAAAAAAAAAAAAAAAAAATTATGTTCTGGGAGATTAGTGGGGTAAAATGTTCACCTTGCAGCACTGGCACATCAATTATGTAACAGTAGTGAGCAGATATTTAGTGGTAATACAGCATGATTGCAAGATGATAAACATATTGGTAATAATACATGCAGATGACATTATAAAAAGTAAATTACATTGTAAAAAATTGTAAAAAATAGAATAAAATATAAAATAATGAACAAAAGGACTGTCCTTCACCTCCACTCACCACAAACATACTCTTGTATTCCTAGATCTCGAATTATACCATGACAATCTCCAAATATTAACAAAAAACCACTTCAAACCCGTATCTGGCAACTCATACCTCCACTTCAACAGCTGCCACCACCCCAAATGGATCCAAAATATACCTAAAGGACAATTCTGTCGTCTCAGACAAAACTGCACCACAGATTCAGATTACAATCTCCAGAGTGACATTCTAATCTGCTCACTACTGTTACATAATTGATGTGCCAGTGCTGCAAGGTGAACATTTTACCCCACTAATCTCCCAGAACATAAATTTTTTTTTTTTTTTTCTTCTTTCGTCTTCCGTTTTCTTATTTATTACATCCTCTCTTTTTTCCATTTGGTTTCCTTTTACCCCCCAGTTAACATCCATGACTTTACACTATTCACCTGACAGCAATGGTCAATCACTGGTTAATTGGTTAATTGATCAATTAGACTCACGTTCCCTATATATTCACCCCTGTTCATCCACTTCCCCCTGCTTGAAAAAGGAGTGCACTTCCGCCT